CCATAGTCTACTTTGAAAGAAAATCAGCATCCTATTATTTTAGTAGTTCTCTTATATATTTCCTAAGCCTTGTATGTGTCTCTTAATATTTTGATGAGTAGATTTCTACATAGGCATGAAAATAAATGATTTTGGAAAACGAGATAATAATCTCCAAAGCTATAAAATGTCATGGAGTTGCCTATTCCAAAATCAGATAATGCTGACAAATGTAACATAGGCAACAACATTCTTCTAACTTGTGTGAGGGGTAAAAAAAATAAGCAAACTGTGATGCTTCAATATTGTCTAATAACTTTTCTGTCAGGGTAGTTTAGCATGACCATTTCTTAAAAGCAGACAAATTTCTGAGATTCTTGTTTACTCCCTCTTAAATAGACTATGGCAGCGTAGACGTTTGTCCTCAGTGACTTAAACTTGTTACTTTCTGCAAAGAGTAGTAAAATCTTTGTAGGAAAATAACTGAGAGCCTACCAACTTTGTGTTTTCAGGATTTGCAGTGGCTTTAATTTTACTACTTGCTTTTCAAAATACACTTGTAAAGAAAGTTTAATTTGCTAGATAATGGCAAAAATGATCGTAATGTATTTTCTTTTACCTCAATGCTATTTGTCTCTGTTTCATTTCCTCTCATAGTTTTTCATTTGAATACCTCAAATCATTTGGAATATATTTTAATAAATCATATATTACTGTGTTTCTAATGTATTAGTAAAATTTATAAATATATTAACTCAAGAATGATTCTTAGGTAGTCCATGTATATAACACCTTCAAAATTAAAATTATTTTGCCCTTATCTAGAAAATTCATCATTGAGCAGCATTAATTTTGAAGTTGGAAACAAATGGTATTGGGGTAAAGAAAATATAAGGTTTTTTGGTCAGATGTCTAACTTATTTCTCATTTGATTGTAAAATTTGTAAATATATTGACTTGAGAATGGCTTGTAGGTATTTCCTGTGGATAACACCTTTAAAATTGATGCTGAACCATGAATAATTGCCTTGCGTGTTTGATTATCTTTAGTTAATTTTGTATCAATATTAAAGTCTTCTCTAGTTTCCTCATAAGAATTTGTGGTCTAACAGATCAAGTGTCTTTTTAAAGACAAGATACTATGCTATCTACTCCATTTCCTTTATCCCCTAAGCTTAAATAGGAAAACAAAGATAAGTTTATAGTCATTCTTTTTATGCAAGTTTGAGGTATATTTTAAGGTAATATAGAACCGCTTAATCTTTACTTGGATTGTAATTTTTGCCATTAAGTATCATGGGGCAATACTTACTAAGAAAGTAAGTATTTAATATATGGAATATATAGAAATATATATTCTAATTAAAAGATAAATAGTGTCTGCTACT